GCCCCGACCCCGGCCGCCCCCCCTACCTCCCCCCCCAGCCACAGGACTTTGCAACTCAGACGATGTCTCTTATCTCACCCTTCCAAGACTTTCTCTACAAAGGCTGCCTGTGTTGCAAGTGGGGTGCAGGAAGCTGCTACCGAAGCAGGGACGGTTTAAGGCTCTAGCTGGCAGGGCTGGAGTGTAGGAGGTTTTGGAGGCAGAGCTTGGAAAATGCAGCCTCAGCACACGTTCAGGCTGCTACCCTGACACTCAGGGGACGTTTAACGCAGACTTGAATAGAACAACGCAGGGTTCACAATGAATTACCCTTTAAAACATTCAGAAAAAAACCAAACACGTGGTAGGAGCTTTTAGACAGTGCATAAGGTGTAGATGACAGCAGTTTGGCAGGTCATAGATAAACTACTTTGGATCAATAAATGGCCACTGTAGGTTAGAAAACTTGCACTGACCTCTAATGTTACTGGGTTCCCATCACAAGAGAGTGGATTATAAAAACAACAGGGACAGGAGCAGCGGGGGAGATGCATGGAAACCACTGGTACCGATTCTGACACTACACTGTAGTGTTTTGGGTTAGGATTAGGGTTTTACATTGTCTTGGACATCTTTGTTCATAGAATCTCAGTGCTGTAATAAAGCAGCTGACTGAGTTTATGCACAAAGACCGTAAGAGAACATAACCTGCTCACTCAAGTAAAGCAGAGAATGGAAACACACAAGCATTATTTTGGCAGTATTAAGGCCCAACAATACTGCTGTTCCTTCTAGTACTAAGGGAAGGAGAGGCCAACAAAGACCTGCAAGGTCCAGTTCTGCTGTTTTATTTATTTGTTTGTTGGCATTGAGATAAAAGGCTGCGATAATGTCTATTATTAATTAAACTAGGCAAGCAGCAAAGAAGATCTGTTCCCGTTTAGCATGCAGCAATTTGAAAACGCTGCATTCAGCAAGGAGCTGTGAGAACTATGGAAATATTGGGGTTTTAAGGTACAGATTTTTTTTCCTCATAAAATGAAAAGAGGTTTCTCATTTTTGCCCTTCCTTGGTCCCTGCCACAGCCCGCAGACTCAGCAAAGCTATCAGATGTCTAGGTGAGTTTTGCTGGCAGTGAAGTTTGGCTTCTGCTCTCAGATACCCAAACATATCCTCCCTAAATCATTCCTCCAGACCATGGTACTTCTCTTTACCTGCACTTCCTTGTTGCCTAGAAAATGGAAATCTGTGAAGCCCTGGTCTCACTGCAGCTGAGTGAGTCCGAGCTGCAGCATCCTGAGAAATTAGTTGGTATTGCCAGGTAGCAAATGCAGAGCCTGCCCCTCCACCCTGAACAGGGCACTGCCCTTAGAACAAGCAGCTGTTTCACCCAAGCTGATTTAAAAAAGAGCTGATTGTCAGCTCTTTTAGCCATTAGCAACAGTCAAAAGCGGGAAGAAATCAAAGTCCTGGACGCAGACTCCGTACAGTTTTATGAAAATGCAGGTCTCGATCTAAACCGTGTGGCTTGGACCTGACTTTAGTAACAGTCCCTGCAGTTCATCAAGTTACTGCTTGTTCTGGACATCCCCCCAGGAGTAATGGGCAGGCCTGCAAGCCATATTGCAAATTATTGATTTTGCCTTTCTGTTCATATAGATGAATGATGTTCTGCTGTATACATATCCCCAGAAGGATGGCAAATACCGACTGAAAAACACCTTGGCTGTGTCAGGCATGAAGGTAATGTCTCATCTGTATTACAGGCTGGAATTAAAGTTGTACAGTGGGCTGTTATTGCTTTGCTGGTTTATGTCTCATATGCAGCCGGGGTGAGAGGGGATGGACATGTTATCAGGGGATTCCCTTGCCTCTTACAGGAGATAGAAGGAACAATAATGTAAAGCAAACATATAGAGATTATTTATAAAGCTGTTACTCAGTCCTGCAGCCTTATTCAGGCTGCATAAATAACACAAGCCAAAATCAGATTTATCATCTGATCATGAAACTGGAGACAGAAAAGATTTATTATCCCATTTTGTCCATGCTTCTCTTCATGTCTCCATCCAATGCACGGTTGTTCCCTACAACATACTCACTAGGGCTTAGTCTGCCTGGTTCTAAACTCCCGCCACTCAGAATTTACATGAGCTTTCATTTGCCTGGTTTTCATGTGCCCTTTAACTGTTTTCATCAAAATTTTTACCAGATTCAAAAACTGGTTAGAGAGCTTTATGGGGAAAAGGTTTATTTGCTCCGAATATAAACACATATAAACACAATCTTTTCTTAAAGAAATTTTGAAACTGAAGATTACAGAAACAA